AAGACTCAGTGAAAATAGCTTCAGTGTAGAACAAAAAATGCAATTCCAGTTTTTCTCAAAGCAACTTTTTATACCCCATAAAGCATATATAAACTAATTCTGTTTTTACACGGTTTTGATTTAACACGGTTTGAAAATTAAAAATTTTATATATGGTTACACGACTTTATTCCATTTAGCACAATTCAAAATAACATACAATCAATGTTTTTTACACGACTTTTTCTGGAACCAATCTACCGTTTAATGCGTTTAATTACATTTGTAGTGCTGTCTGGTTGGGCAAAAGGCAAAAAATCCCAAGAGACTGGGCACTTAATATTTTTATAATTAATAGAATCAATATTGGCATTGGCATTGACGTCGCCATCACACAAACACACACGCACACACACACATGCAGATGCAACTGCTGCGGTTAATTGTAGATTAAAAATGTCCCATGTCGAGGGGCAGCAGCGGAAAACGCAGGGCCTGTACAACAACTGCAGCAACAACAACAACAACAACAACAAGAACAGTCGTGTTGGGTGTTTGTAATGCGGTTAAACATTTTGTGGTCATGCAGGCGTTAATTTTCTGGTCAAACTATGTACACACATATACGTATGTGTAAAGGAGAGATTGTGTGCTGTGCACGACGCACTATACAAGTAAAATGCGATCGTAAAAATAAAAATAAAAAATTAACAATTTTATTTGCTTACGCATTGTTTACTCTTTATTTGCATTCCGCTTTCTGCAAACACACATGTATATTTTCATATATGTACATATGTGTGTATCCAGCTTCAAATATTCTATACGCTGGTTAACAATTAAATTATATTATAGTATATACGCATATTGTATATCTGCAGACTCATTGTAATACGAGTATTTTAGAACAAATGGATGGTTTAATAAGTCTTTAGAAAATCTAAATGATTCATTTCGAAACACTCACTTATTTCTCGCTAGGACAATCTTTCAATAGACTGCTGCCAAGCTAACATAATTGCAATATAATTAAAAATGAAAAAATGAAGAAATATTAAGAATAGAGATAAGTATACGAATGAATTGCATTTTTCTGTGAAGCTTCTTATGAAATTCTTCAACTAAATGAGCATGTGAATGGTTACACGAGTCGTGGTTCTTAAGAGCGATGAGCTTTATCTTTTATACCCTGTTCCGGAAGTGTAAAAACATCGCAGAAACCATAAAAAAATTATGTATATATTATCTGCTTGACGAGAAATATTGATTTAGATATGGGTATACAAGGTGCAATTCAAAGTAAAAACGACTTTTTGAAGCTAGCGCCCCCTGGTAGCGCTATCTATATGTCGACTGGTGCGTTAGAATCTGCTATCTTTATCGATTGTCCAGTGAGAACTTCATGACATTTCATCGATTGGAAGTGAAGTTATTGCGTTTTAAGTGTCAGTATGTTTGTGTTATCGGTTGGAAAATGAGCTTCGGAAAAAAGAGCCAACATTAAATTTTGTTTTAAAATTGGTGAAACTTTTACCGAAATTGATGAAACAAGTTTATGGCGATGATTGCCTATCCCATAGCAGAGTGCACGAGTGGTTTCAACGTAGTATTTGTAGTATTTTTTACTCTCAGGCAGGCGCGATTGTAATATTCTCTTTATACAAAGTAAGTTTCTGTGTTCAAGAGTTATTCCATTTAGAGTCTTAGGTTGTGGGAAGTATACGAGTATAGTCATGTCGGCACTGCGGGACTATCGTATACGAGATGATGATGAGTTGTTGCTTTGGATTAGTTTTAAAGATTATTTTATATTTAACAATGTTGTGGCATTGGGAGACACTCTCAATTGTCCAAGCTAACACTTTTATTTTCATACTATACTTGTGAATGGAATTTTTGCTGAATTTCTTAAGTATATAAAATGGAAATTTGTTTATAATTTATCGCTTAGTGTGTGCACTGTAGACATATTTTAAGTATAAGTATGTAGTATATGCTTGCAATTAAATGGCACTTGGCTGGCGTAAAGCTAATAAGCAGGCCGTTCACGCAACTTTGACAAACCAGCAACCCCATTCCGACAAAAGAAAAGCTCACGTTCCTCTATGAAAAATACAATATATACATATATATTTATACGTATACATAAAAAAAAAACAGAAGAGCGCTTTAAAATGCAAGCAGCGTAAAAGATTAGCCGGATTATTTCAGCTCGAAGGCGTTTAACTCTAGCGTTGCAACGTTGCATAACGACGCGAATCGTGGCTGCGGCTTAAGTTCAAAGGGTTCCCCAGGCAAAGCATTCCCCGCACCCAACCCCCACCTTCCAGCCCACCATGATAAAATCCACGCGGAGCATTTGGTGTGTGTGTCGCTTGGCGGATGTGTGTGCCTCACTCATGGTTGGAGAAAGGTAAGAGTGGGAGGACTTGCATCACAATTTCCCACTTTTGTAACGCCTCTTAATGCCCATAAATGACACAACTTATAGCTATAAAATGGTAGCTTATGTATGTAAGTATGAAGGAACTGGAAGCACCACAACCAAGTGGAACCTTGCAAAATGCAGAAACTCATTTATAACTAGCTTCCTTGTTTGAACGCTTTCAGTCTTTATGATATTAATTTTCCCTTTTTTTCAACCGTAATTTCTCATCGAATTGAATAAATAATAAAAAAATAAATAAAATAAAATAAAATAAATAAATAAAACATAATAAAACATCACATATCCAGTGCCGGATTAAGCCAGCGCGGGGCCTGTAGCAAATTCTGTCAAGGGCTCTTGGTTTGCTTTAGGTTCTCAAGTTCAGGGTATTAAATAAAACAAAACGGTTACAAATAAACGGTTCTAGATTTAATATGGCCATATTTAGAGATACCACTTTCAATATCGACTTCTCTAAGCAAATCATGCTCTGTATTCAACAAAGTGAGATGATTAAGACGTTCTTGGCCCATCGTGTTCCTTAATTAATTTTTAATACGTTTTAATGTTGAAAAGAACGTTCGCCACTGCAGTTAGTGATCATGGGTAAGTAAATGCGCAAGGCAATTTCTAAGTTTGGGAAACACGATTCTAAAGAATTATTTAATTTATAAAATTTATTTAGTTTAAAAAATTGCTGATTTCCATAATCTCTTCCGTTGTTAGAGATTTTAGCTAAAGTTTAATATCCAAAATATCCAAATGTGCATACCTTAATCACTTATTTTATAGTAAAGAAATTCAAGGAAATGTCGATCGACTAATACTTAAAATGTGTAATTTTTAATTGAATAACGTTTTGTTTATAATTTGAATAGTTCATTTTTAAGCTACCCGCCTTTTTACTTGAGACTCTGTAACACCTTGCTTTTAATCTACCGTCACTAGCTTTCAATAATCTCAAAACATGATGGATATGATAATCGATTCAAAAAAAAAGGTCAGCTATATTCACTCATAAAATGAATATATATTTAATAATAAATCGACCAACCACAGTAGATTGTATAGTGACTGAGTTAATAAAGTTTAAATAGTTCGCCTGTTTTCTCGAAATACTTATAATCGATATTATATTAAAACCGATTAAAAAAGTATAATCTTAGCTACTACGTAAGGTCGCAAAATAAATGTATAGCTATGTAAAAAAAATAAAATCTGGTCGCTTGAAGGGTAGAAATGTGGTATAGATTCTAGTCTAGATTCCAGTCGATTATAATTAAACATTAGAACATTAACGTTAAAAAGTTCGTAAAATACCTTATTTTTACGATTTAACGTGGCGAAATCGAGTTTTAGATTTTCAAATGGAAGTGAAACACAGCCTAAGTGCTTCGCGTTTAAGTCATAGTCATGCAAGGTATTTTACGCTCCTATCTAAATTAATATTTTTATTATACCCTGTACCCGTAGGGTAAAAAGGGTATATTAGGTTTGTGCAAAGTATGTAACATGCAGAAGGCAGCATCTCCGACCCCATAAAGTATATATATTCTGAATCAGCCGTCTGTCCGTCTGTCCGTCCGTCTGGATGAACGCAAGGATCTCAGAAACTATAAAAGCTAGAATAACCACAGTTGGCATCCAGATTCTCCTAGGTCCGAGAAAGGACGAGTTTATTTTATTTTTTGGAATTTTCCCCCCCTTCCCCTGCTACAGAATTTCGTCAATAGCGTCCACATTTCAAATGATACCTAAACCAAACTTTGCCCACATCATTTATATATAATTATCTACTGTGTTTTATTTAATTCGGTCAATTCTAAGAAAAGTTATTAGCAAAACAAATTCTCGCCAGTACAACCCCCCCAAACTGCAGCAACAAGTTCGCTCTTCTTCTTCCTCTTTTTGCTGCTGCTTTGGAAGTGCTTTGCAGTGACGGAAGTTTACCTGGGTACAGGGTATTACACTGTCGGGCTTGCTCGACTGTAGCGTTCTCTCTTGTTTTATTACGGTCAGACCATTTGCTACTCTTGATACGTGGCTAATCCGACACTGCACATATCGAATTGTAACTAAATTTTTAATTACGCATCAATAGTGGTCACAGGCTCATTGGAACATACTTATAAGTAATCTTTATTCCGCAGGCCCTTTATTTTCTTTACTCAAATTATAAACGACCTCTCATATCTACAAGTTGTATTATTAGTATACATTTATATGATGTGTGTTTCATGTACCTCAATGGCTTTAAATGTAAGCTCTTGGCTACCAGTCGAAAGTCGAAAGCCTTAAAGTATTTTCCTATTTTTTCAAATTGAGCTTCAAAATTCATATACTTACTGTAGGCAGTCTTTAACAGTTTTCAGATTTTTAAATTTTGAACTCGACTTCCTACCAATTGAAACATGTTCTTGAGCTTGGAATAGGATTAAAAACTCGAGTGCATGGAAATCCGAATGTAACTAATTGAAATTTTCTGAACTTAGTACACTTTGAAATAGACTTCAGCTCATATTGTCAACTTCCTTGCCTACAGTCAGTAAAAATTTCATTCGTGTTTTGACTCTCGAGCTTTCCGTTTCGACTCGCATCTAAATTTTTGTACAAAAATTCTAAAAAAATTTTCACTAAAATATTCTAACGATTTTTACAAAACTGATACAACTTGCCGAAATACAAAGTGTAGCATTTTAGTATCCACCGGAAAGAAGCCTTTAGCAATCCAAAATGTGCTCTCCTTGTGGCCCCTGTAGTCCCTGTGATCCTTGCTGTGCACCTTTTGAGGTAAGTGGGCCACCAATAAATGGACATGTGGATACTCTTTCTTACACTTGAAGGATACAGATAAACCGCATACATTACAAGATTTTTAAGAGTCGCACTATATTTTAGAATTGCTTGTTAACGCCTGCTTTGTAAAACAAGAAACTTCTTAGACTGGTTCTCCTTTCATTAATATGCGAATTTTCCCGAACAGTGCTCCCCAAAATGCTACTCCTCTGCACAACTGGAAGCATTGCCACAATGCGCGCCACGTATTCCGCCGCCATTTCCCAAGTGCATAACAGTTCAGCAGCCCCCGCGCATTATATGCAAGAAGCGTGTGGTGTTCACAGAGAAAATAGTGCCGGAGCCGATGGTTGTGAACCGATGCAGACAGATCACCATTCCGAAGGTAGTGGACACGACGCGTGTTATAAAAGTTCCGAAACTGCTTTGGGTCTCGCAGATGGTGCGTGAGCCACGTGTCATCTACTATCCGTCGATGATACCCGATCCATATGTTGTGTGCTATCCGAAACGGGTCTGTGAGCCGCGAGAAGTTTGCCAGTCTATACTGTGCCAGCCGAAGCCACAGACTATCGATATACCGCCGCCACGAGAATATTGCTGCTATCCGAATGGGCCGATCAATTACAAGCCAAGTGCCGCATGCCCACCATGTCCGATCGGGCCGTGCGCTCCATGTGGACCATGTGGTGCCTTGCCTTGTTTTTCCACCAATCAGTATCCGTTATGCGAGCCACGCTGCGGGCCTTGTGGGCCGCCGTGTGGACCTTGTGGACCGTGTGGGCCTTGCGGACCATGTGGACCGTGCGGACCGGGACCTTGTGGACCTTGCAAGCCATGTGTCGTCCCTAATTGCGGACCGTGCGGCTTGACAATGCCATCAGGCCCATACATTCCAGCACCTTGTGGACCGTGTGCACCGTGTGGACCTTGTGGACCCAACGGACCCTGCGGACCGTGTGGACCCTGTGGACCTTGCTCGCCGCCTTGCCCATATGAATCGCCGGAATGTGGACCCTGCTACCCGTGCGCACCAACACCTTGGAACACGCATTGCGGACCTGTTGGACCCTGTGGACCGCAAGTGCCCTGCGGCCCTTGTGGGCCCTGCTAAGTGATCAACATAGCTGAAACATAGATATTAAATTGTACACCCCTTTCGTTCTTGCGACTAAATATTTTCCCCCCAATCGCTATGTCAGTTGCTACGAGAATGTGCGCGATGTCTCAAATTGAATTGAAGTGATTCCAAAGTAAATGGAAGTGAATATAACAATGAAATTAGTTTTATTCAATTTGATTACAGTTGGCCCAAAGCGAATACTTATCTTAGGGATCTGCTGCTAACAATAAAAACGAAAATAACATTAATTCCTGTTAATGACACATTGGACTGAAGTTTCAACTTATTGCAAGGGTCCACGATCATGGCTCATCTGGCTTTCACATCAAGGTACGAATATTATGCAATCCCTTCTGGGGCCTATTTTAATGTCCAACTGCCCAAAACAAGATTTCGGATCTCGTTCCTCTGCAACTTGGAAAAAACAATAGGGAAGGTTGAGCAAAGGCGACTATGAAATACCCTGTACCAAATAAAATCTTCCTTAGCTATATTGTATGGTAATAAAAGGAAGAAACACAAGGCAATTTAATTAATCGATTTGGATGAAATTGGAAATAGAAGTACAGCATTATGTGCTCAAAGTTTAGCTTATAGTGTTTGTGAAGGAGGGAAATTAAAAAGCTTGTGTTACCTAGGGACTAAGAGATTCTTTAAGCCAAGTTTTATTAATTTTTGTTCAGAAGTGTTTCGATATCTAAGTGCTCATACAGACAGACGGCGGACGAGCATGGCCTAATCGAGATGTCCAGTTTAGGCTTATCAAGAATTTTTATATACTTCCGGTACTGATTATAAACACAACAAAACAGCAAAGGGGCTTTAACAAACTTCACATCAACAGCAAAGGATAAAATTAGTGTTTTAAAACCATATATGTATCTACAAGTAGGAAGAGCAAAAGTAGATGCAATTCTACAAAAATAAAGCTAAAGACTCTTTTGCAATCAAATTGAAGGTGTTTCAGAAACAATGAGGCTTAGAAGGATTACTTCAAACATTCAATTCTAGCTAAGAATTGCCCGGTCAACATCAAATACATTGAAGCATACCTTTAAAACTTTATCGGCATTCTAAAGTTATTCACATGATCTTCCTATCAGCAGGGATGGCAGCGCTTACATTAGGACACCGGAAATGTCATACTCAGCTGGAATCTTAACAAACACCACAGAAGTAAGAGCCTGCGGTTGATGCTCCTGCAATCTCGACGACCCTTCCCAAAACTCATGCAATATTTTACAAAACTCACAATCTGTTGAGGGAGTCTGGATAAGATAGGACCATCTTTTTGGGAACAGCACTTAATTAATTTGGGCGCTTAAGTTATGGCACATTATACATTACATTCACGACGAATGACGAATGGACGTGTTACCCGTCCAAGGGCCGGCTCCGAACAATGCAGAGCCATATATAGCCTAGTCTCTCAGGACTACGCCGACAGACTCCGTAGCCGATATACTGCAAATAATTTGAGCTTTAATAGCGATGGACTTACGCTGACAGGTAAGAATACTTATAAGTTGCTATTTGGGTTCCGTTCCATATAGATATATATAGTAAGGAAAGTGCTTAGCTGGCGATGCACAATCCCTACTTGCCTCCCGATACCTCCCACCAAGTTTTGTCTGTGCCAACGAAGACAAAAGAAAGAGGGTTTAACTAGATCCTCAGTAGCAAATAAAAGGATATAAATGAAAAAAAAATATATTTCATTTTTTCTTATTTATTTTGTACAGAAATTGTGTTACTTTCATAGAAGTACGCATAATCCGGTGTTTATGATATTTAACATTAACTAGACATGGAAGACAAGTTCGTCATCAAATTTCACTGAAGTAAATATTGACATGATTGGGTTTATTGAGAGTTCTTATAGACGAGTCACAATATGTTTCCAGTCCACAGAGTTATTTGTGCTTTTTTCTACTTTTTGTATGAGTTCGTATTGCAGTTGTCCTGTAGCTGTGATGCATACGATAATAAATTGATTGGAAGCGGAGCAGCAATATCAGTGCAAAGTAAATCCAACGGGCTGCTTGGGATACCGGAAACGTTGGCTTCTCGATTGACGGTATCACTTGGTGGTGCATCCAATATATCATTGTTTTTACAACCATAATTTGCATGTACAGCCGGAGGTAGCATTATGTTGTTGCTACCAGGATCCAAATGAACAGACGGTAGGAATGAATTGTTTTCACTCGTCTTAAGTGTTGGATACATTTCCGGGGATAGCGTTTTTTTTGCATTTCCACTCAAATTTCTCTTATTGTTATTATTAAGATTCGGAGTCATGGTGGGAATAATATTACCATCGACTAGAACTCTGGGATTAACCATCACATTGGTGTTCAAATTATTCGGCACAGTATTGTCCATGTCATCGGCTAACATTTTTGCTACACAAAGGACACTAGATGCTAAAATATTGGCGGATGAGTTGCCTTGGAAGCCGTTCTCAGATAATGATGGGGCTGAGGCTTCAAGCGCACTGCCACTAAAGTTTCTTTCTGGATCCCTATCTATGTCGACGGTCAGCATTTTCGCCGCAGAGCTGAGTAGCATACCCTCGTGATCATCACTCTCAAATCTTAGTGCTGAGCGGCTGTCTTGGCTTGTGCTTCCATTCTTTTTGTTCTTTCCAGTGGTGGGACGCACATCAGATGTCTCATAGGGCTTTAGACCTGCACTCAAGGTTTTATTCCTCGGATTAGCCATGGTATTTGTGAGAGTATTCGACGTAAGATTTGTTATCGATTTTGTTATGGGATATTCGACTCTTGGACTTGAATCTCCATTGCTATTGTCCGCTTTAGAACCGATTATGAAGTTCGATGTACGACTTTTTCGCAAATTTGCCGAAGCTCTAGTATTAGTGGAGCGAGTGCCACAAATATGATCCAAAGTGGCGTTCTTTTTTAAGCTATTCACTCTTGAAGGAGTAGCATTCCCTTTTGTGGGGCTAGCTTTGCGATCCTTAGCGTGGCGACTCTTATGGACTTTAGAAGAGCGTTCGCTCTTGCAAGGTGTTTGCAAGAGTTCACTTTTATTTGAATTATGGTCTTTGTTCCGGGAAGAATCCATATGGGATAAGGCACGTCTATCTCTGTCTCGGGAAGCATTGTCTCTCGACTCATTTAGTTTACCACTTTTCCCACTTGTAATGGGCAGCCTTATAGCATCAATATCTGTAGTGTCACTGCTGCTTGAATTATTTTTTTTAATGGACGGCTTTATAGCTATGTTTGGAGCCTTTGTTATATTTGATTCTGATGTGTTATTCTTGATCTGTTTCGTATTATGGCTGTCGCTGCTGTTCAGGGTGGTGCTCAAGTCTGTGCTGGCAGTGTCTCTGCTGCGATCCAATTGAGTTGCCTGCTCACTACCGATTTGGGGCACTGACGTGGAATTTGTAATGATCTCCTCGATGTCTCCGAAGGTTTTCTCATTGCCGTCCATCGTTGACTTTAATGGCAGTTGAGCTTCGGACAGCAACCTCGGCTCCACCTGCAGCGTAGGAAGCTGCGGAAACTGTAGTGGTAGCGGCAGCAGTGATTGCTGAAATGGTTGGAACGCTTGTCCTGGATGCACCGGTGGCTGTGTATTAGTCTTCATTTTATTGCGATGACTTGGACGTCCACTGCCAATGGGCCCAAAGCGACAGGGCATTGGGGCATTGTAGTTGAATCCGAAACCGTAACGTGGACCACTGGGTCCTGGACCAGCACTCCCATTGGGAATTGGTTCAGGGAAGCGTAAAGGTCCGCCTAACGGATGCAGTGGCACAGCTATGTGTTGGGATATTTTGGTTATAAGATCTAAGATACGCATCATGAGAGAACTTACGTATGGTGCGAGCCCACCATCCTCCAAAAGGTTGAGGCGGCGGCGGCGGAGCTATGCGAGGACCTATATCATAGATCGTTGCCGGACGGGCTGCTGACCCCAAAGGCTGCATGCAATAGCAACGAAATTCGGTCTGTGTGCTGCCGTCGGACATTTCAGGACGTTCCTGTGGGAAGAACTTTTAAGCATTTTTAAACCCATCTTATATCCAATTGCATACTATATATATTTGTATACCCTGCATGCGAAATATGAAAGACAACAAACACGGGAGCAAATATGCGGTGTACTACATGGTTTTATTTACTCACATTAATGCGCGCTAGATCCTCTGGAGTGAGGCTCTGTGGATGATGAGCCGGTAGCTCCCAATTATCCAGCCAGGGTCGAGGAATGTTCTGGAAATGAGTCCGACACATGTCAGGCATTGGCCGATTAGTCGAAATAGACGCCACACTTACGGCTGGCATAAACAGGCTTGGATGCAAAGGCGGCGCATTCAATATAGCCGAAGTATAGGCGGCTATCTGTGAGGCTGTCAGGTTGGCGAAGCCCCCCCTCAGCAACGGCAGGAGCATGTCGTTGGCGCGTATCACTAAATTACGCAGCGTTCCCAAGTACTCGTCACGCGCAATGCCACAGAAATCGAGGTCAGTGCCAAAATCGTCTAGAGGAGGATAGTGCTGATGATTTGGTTCGTCCTGTTGTGCGACTTCTGACAGTCCTGATCCCTCCATAGAAAGCAACTGATTCCTGTTGTTTCTGTTGCTATAGCTAGACCACTGGTCCAATGGTGGGACTGGAAGACGTTGGATCTCATTGAGGTCCTCCATCCATGCATTACGATCACGCTCCTGCTCAAGATCCAATTCACGCTCACTGTCGCGCACGCGATCGCGTTCGCATTCGGACTCACGTTCACGCTCACGTTGAATGTCTAGCTGAAATTCTCGCCAGGATTCACGCCAAGCTTCGCGCAGGGACTCGCCCTGAAGGGTCACACCACGATTTGCAGAGCCGCCGGTCGGCGTAGACGGTGCCCTAAGATTCATTCCCAGCCCAAAGCTATTCTGATTTGGTTCATTGTTGTCCAAACCAAACAAACTGGGTGTTGGCGAACTGTGTTGGCCAATATTATAATCGAATTCCCGATTACACGATCGCGCGCTTGCTGTTTGCACGGGCGGCTCCTGTGCGCTCGAACGCGAGGTTGTGCCATAGTTGGAGCCCATGGGATAAAAAACAGGTGCATATGGGGACATGCGCACGGTACTGTGCACGGATACAGGCACACGACTTCCGCTCAATTGCGCAGTGCTGGAAGCGCCGCCAAGCGGTATTTCCGATTTGGGGGTATGCGGTTGTATTGGGTGTTGTAGCTGTGTTTGCGCTTGAAGTCGTCCTTGAAGCTGCTGAACTTGTGTTTGTTGCTGCTGCAGCAGTCCCGAATAGGTTGCCAAAGGTGCTGCTACTGGCCACAGCTGAGTGGCCGGTGCTGGTGATGGTGATGGTCCAACCACCGATGTCTGTGGTTGCTGTTGCAAGCCTAAATTATTAGGCGGCATGGCCGTAAATGCATTGTTTTCCACTATTCCCTGTGGATACTCTGGTTGATAATCTGGGAATGGTCGAGGATGTAGGCACAATTTAAATATCATAGATATGCCTCTTCAATAATACTACTTATTTACTATGAAGTTCATGTAATGTATAGTTTCTATACGAATGTTGTTTGTTTATACGCTGTAGTCGAAGTGTGTGAAGAAATCTGAGTTCATGCAGAGACTCTATGTTATAAATATACGGCCAGAATATAATGTAATAGATAATCATTAAAGACTTGACACTTTTTTATATAGTGACCATAGCAGGAATTTTTAGAATGGTATGAACAAACGTTTTGTGGCTGTACCTAGACCAATGGTGTAATTACGATATGGTTACCATCACATAAAGAAATAAATCACCAGATTGTGGAAATTCAAAATGCAGTTCTTTACTGTGCTTTTAATTCAAGCGGAAAGAAGTGAGTCCTTAGGTTGGTTTTTAATGATCAGATCCCAATGAACCGAAGGAATTTTCCCACCCCACAAAAAATTGGTATTCTTATAATTATTATTATTTTTGGAGTACTTTTTGATTCTTAATCGAACTTCAATCCTCATATCTCTAGGACTGTAAATAAGGCTTCGGGTGTTCCTGGATTCATTTAAGGTTGGTCCAAAGAATTTAATGACCCTTATACAATTAAGCTTCTATACACTTTACTGATAGGTCATATCCTTGAATGCGTTTGGTGAGCGCACCAAAGAGCATCAGGAACGTATGACGGTTGCTCTACGTATTCTAGCAGCACTAACAATCCGTAAAACTGTTTGTTGTGTAGTTTTTCTCCAAGGGCTGAGTATTGCAGAAGAAGACTCAAAGACAAAAAATTATTTCCCATTTATTTTCTCCACTACTCTATACAGAACCATCTTTCTCTATCCACTCTATAAAAACTGTTCTTTAAAATTAGTTCCGGGAAATATGAACGACTGGCAAATAAATTTTCTCCCACCGGCTGCCTTCCAATGTTTCTCATTAGGCAATTAGAATTAAGTTTTTTCTTTCTGCCTATTTTTTGTTACCTTTTTTAACGTGCTAGGTCTGTTAATGTCTTCGATCGCCTTCGGCTATGAATCGGTGTACAGCTGGTCGGATGGCAAATAAAATCCTCCCAATAGGTCGGAGGCGTTAACGGACATCAGTGTATATTGTGTAGTGTATATTCGAGGATTTCTCATCGTGTAAGTTGTAATTATATATACTTATGTACATACACTTATGTGCATACACATATATTTTGTTGATTAAATAAAAAAATTGAATAAATAAGTGATTATTATTAATTTTATTAACATCATTATTATTTGGATACTTACGGCCATTAGGTATGCGTCCGGCTGCCATCAGACAAGCCCAGTGTGGCGAGGAGGATCCAATAGTTGGATCGTTCATCTTGATAACGTCAGTGGCTGAAAAAGATCATTGAAGTTGGATACTTAATTTTTTGTTTCAAATTACACATTTTGATGTTTTGTTTGAAAATTAATATAGAGGTGCCTGATATCGACTTTGTTCATAAGTGTGTGTATGTGGGACGTGTCTGGTTCGCTTTAAACAGCTTGCAGCCTTTTCTCAAACGTGCTTGGCATTATGAGCACTATACCCATGTACGTAGTACGCGTACTGGCCATATCTCCCCCCAACGCCTTTAAAATCTTGCCAGCTCATGTAAGACAAACAGAACTCGCATCCCGCCTTCGAGTATCGCAGCATAGGGCCAAGCATTTTTGCAATTATTTCAAATATTTTTCAACACGACTTTTTATGCTGTTAGCTGTGAAATGCGACGTGCCTGAAATGGAAGGCGATACGAGGAGCAGCTCTACAGGAAGTAGCCCTTTACAGTAAGCCCCCCATACGACAACAGCAACTGTTAAAATATATATGACTAAGTGTTCAAGCCAAGTTTTGATGCATATTTTGAAAACATAGCTGACAATGTTAATTACTATATATACGGAACTCATTCAGTTTAATTTTCCGATGAAGTTAATAATTCAGCATTTCTGTTAATTTTATAAAGCTAATCGGTCAATTGACCTGTCTCATAGTTCTTAGTTCCCAAAGGCAGTAGAAATACACACTGATCTCCGCCCTTTCTTCCGCAGTCTACAGTTAACAAGAAAGGAATGCCTGAGTCGAGCGGGCTCAACTCTTAAATACCCTGTACCCCACAAAAAAGGAAAAAACATTTTTTAAAAATGTTGAATTAATTTTTAAAAAAAATAATAAATTAAATTTTAAATAAAAATACATTACACAATTTGACTCAAAAATTTCAAGAATTATAGGAGCTATGGAAAATCATTAATAGTGGAGGAGTGGGAGAAAAAAAACAAATTTGATCTGCCTGGGGCTTAGGGTAACCTCGATGTCAAGTTTGGTTATTCTAGCCCTTGTACTTGCTGAGGTCCTTGCGCTCATACAGACAGACGGAGAGACCAACGAATGGACAGACGGACATGGCTACATCTACTCGTCCAGTCATACTGTAAATATGTATGTGCCGATCAATAACATAGGCGTCTGTCAAGCCTCCTTCAGTGCGTTACATACTAAACCAGTATGTGCGTTTCCCGTTTGGGTACAGGGTAAATAATTTTTCCAAGCTTGCATTCGATGGGCAATGCCTTACATCACAGCCCACGGACTTCAAGCGCTTAATGCCAATCTTCAATTGCAGCTTTTACTGTATTTCGTTAAGTTATGATCCCTGCTCGCCCCGAAGAAATATTTTGTGCATTTTATTTTGCGCATATTTTTTCCGTACAGGGTTGGCGCGAAATTAGCGTGCAAGTGGCTGCTCTGTGCCAAATAAAAAATAAAAAAAAGGCGCTTGCATGAGATAAACTTTAAATAAAACATACACATAGCCCACTCCCATACCCACATACTCGTACAGTGTACGGGTATACATATATATATGCATGTTCGCTCAAACAAATGTCGAATGTCGACAGACGCAACGAGACCGCAATTCAAACAAAATCCTTTAGGGCTTTTGACTTTTAACTCATCCGTTTAACGAGTGCTCATGTTCGTGAGCAGCAGCACCGGCAGCAGCGACGATGGCGATGGCAACAAAAACAGCACCCTGGACACCTACACATACGCACACACAAGACAACTTCTGGCACGTCGTTTGCTTTGCAAGTAAGGGCGAGAAGGAGAGAAGGGGGAAAAACTCATACAAACAAAAAGGGAGCGAAGGAGCAAAAACAAAACACAAAACGTTTTAAAATTTTTATGAGTTTCGCTATGGCGCTTGTACTGTGATTGCTTTTGCTTTTGAGTCGCTCACGCCCTGCATAATCCGCATCCGATCCGATCCGAGTCTCAATCCGAATCCGCCAATACCAAATCGATTGATGACGATGGCAAGCCCATTGCCAATTGCCACTCTAGCCGCCACGCATAATAAACAAGTTTTTGCTTCCTTTGCTCTTTTGTGTTTCTTGTTCTTCTTTTATTTGGCTTTGTCGAAGGCGAGGCGTCGAAAGCCATTAAATATGCAATAAAGTTATGCATAGGCAAAGGATGCCTCAGCCTCAGGCCCGGCTTCCTAGTCAAGTTGCTTAGACAAGTGATTTCGACATTTATTAACTGGAATACACTTGTCAAGCATACGCCCTGCAAGACGCCCCAAAAAGTATGCTTCGTTTAATAAATTGAGCGTTTTGCGCAATTTATGCGCCTGATTTGACGTTAATGTGGCTTAAACAGACCGCCAACACACAGCACACCACACCACACACAACAGACACACTTTCTCGCTCAAATAAATTGCAAATGCATGCCTAAGTAAGTCTTCTCTGTGTGTATGTTTATTTCCAAGTTCCCTTCAAACATCGCCTTAACGCTTGCTATGCCCTGCGACTAAAAAGTACACAAGTAGAGGCATATTAGCTGCTTCGAAATGTTTGTACCACAAATAAGAATAAGACTGTCAACTATTTTCAATGAAATTATATCTAAGACAACGTGGTTTCGCTTCAGTGCATGAAAGAGACATTAGAAGGAGAAGTACTGTTGCATGATTTCTCATTACCTTATGTAGAATTGTGATTGTTCGTTAACTCTTTAGTTTAATGTCATAAGGATCAATCCCAAACACGTCAACTGACATCTCAATTATTATAATTAATATAAATCGGACTAAAAATATAGAAGAGAAAACTTTAAAATCAAAATATATATAGTCGAGCCATAATGTCTGGTTGTTTCTAGTACCATTTTTAATCAAAGTATATACTTAATAAGATTTTGTAAAGCACAAATGGTGCCTCATCACTTGCTATAACCCGTTGCCGAAGAGTGAAAGGGTATACTAGAAAGTCTAGAAAGTGTTATTATGGACACCGCGAAGTATTGAACCATAACAGAGCTTGGGGCACAAATCTTTATATATAGATTTGTCTTATTCAAGCACATAAGCCATATATAGTCTCATTATTTTATATAGCTGTCATAGCACTGATTGGTGCATAATGACTTTTTTGATTATGAAGAAGAATAAAATGTTATGCTTATATTATTATGCTTATAATCTGTAGCTTTATCGGAATTGGTTAACCGTCTCATGTAGCTTCCACAGGCAACCATTTTTTCCTATTTGTTTTTAAATTAAACCTCTTATCATACGAATATCCTGAGAATTATTTATGTTATGAATAATAGCCCCGACATACATAAATAATAATGCTATAAAAAAAGTTACAAAATGAAAAGAAAAACTAATTTATACTTATTAATAATAAGTATAACCTAATTGTCTTAAAGTAGATAAAGCAATCATTTTTTTTCAATCAAATTCAAAATTAGCCCCTATAAATATTGCTAAACCTAATAAATATTAAAATTGGCTTAAAAAAAGAATTTCTTAATAAACTATATAATCAAATCAAATTGTAAGATTCCTGACCGCAATAAACTGGTTTCTTATGCTTCTTTCCTGTTTTCTTCATTGATATTTTTTGATTATTGTTATTACTTTATTTAGATTTTAAATGTGTTAATCTACGTGTATTAATAAGCTACTTGGAAATTAAAAATATCTTTTAAATGCAAGCAAATTGTCTTAAATTGGCATTAGTTGTAAGAAAATAATATAGTCGGAGGCCATTTTTAAAAGATGACTAATGATTATAGAAAAAAAAGCCCCGCAATAAATAGCTTCTTAAAGAGTATTCAGTAGTCTCTCAACACCAATAGACTATAACGTTTCTTACTAGTTATTTATAACAACATCTGTCGCTCATATGCGTACGTGGTTTGTGTGCTTATGTGTGTGTGTGTGTGTGCGTGTGTCGATGCGGGAGGCGTTAACATACATGTACGCACACGTCATTAATCATTTTAACAGCGCGCACATTTCCGCACTCCTTTGGAAAAGCATGGGCTTTACCTGCTTGAGCGCATTTCCTGCCGGCTTTTATGTGCAAACTTAGCGAATATAGCGCATAAAAACGCGAATAAAATGCCGTTTCCCACAACAAAAAATCTACTGAATAGCCCCATTAAAGTTTGGCGTCCCATTGCGCCTCCCCCCATCCCACTCGCTAATCAAAGTCGCAGTTGGCAAAGAGTTGCGGAGTGGAGAGGCGGAGACAGACACTGGCTCAGAGGAGGGGTGGAGATGGAGTGGAAACAAAGACAATAATTCACATATCCGAGCTAATAAATTAGAGACGCACGCAGCGCATCAAAGGATAACTTTTTCACTCTATTTAATGTCACTGCCACAGCACACAACAAGCACACAACAAGCACAGGACAGGACAGGACACCACACACATGTGTGTGCGCATTAACCTGCGCAAATAATCAACTGTAAATATTTTATTATATGAAACGGTCACAAAACTTTGCGCAGCTCCCAAAGCAGGAGCAGATATTTAAGGAATGTTGTCTCAGTTGTGGCGCATTTCAGCTCATCTGTGTTGGGTGGGTGTTGTGTTTATTTGTAACAAAAATTTAAGAAAGGCCAGCTTCAAAATTGAGGCAAACTGTCATTTTGTCCAGAAGGACGACTCCCTTCAACAACACATCTCGCTCGCTTAGATATAAGCTAAGCTATGGCCATTTGTGGGCATTAGACGCCGAGCCCATGGGCAACAAATGATGTCGCCTAATGTGGGAGCTTACGATAAGAAACCAACAAATAGAAATGAATGTCAATGGATAATCAAAATAAATACCCTGCAGCCTGGGCGACGAAACCAAAACAGGAAAGGAGAAAAGAATAAAAGCAAAAACCATGACAAATATAAATGAGACCCCAGTCGGGATTTCTTTTCACATTTGTAGGCAATTAGATTCTCTCAGCAAAAATTCACATACATGTTTCCATGTACACTATATAATATTGTTCTGTTTAGATTCTAGAGGCCAAATGTGTATTCTAATCACATAGTCTATATCTATACTAATATTATAAAGAGAAATATGTGATTGTTTGTTTGTTTATTTGAATTTAATAGGCTCCGAAACTACTGGACCAATATAAAGGATCCTTTCACTGTTGGGAAGCTACACTATCCCCGGGTAAAAATAGGGATCCTTACTAAAACGCCAATAAATTACCTAAAAAGTTCCTGAACAAAATCATCCTCGAAACATTATGTCGCTTTGAATATTAAAACAATATTATTTAAAAGTCCCCGACTATATAATAAATCACAAATCGATCGACACCGTGACTAATATCGAAGACACAGTCCATTATCCATATTGATTGATTGATGGTCTGAGATTCCAATTTTTTCTCACTTTTTTTCCTTTTAAAATTAGCTTTTAAGTAATTCTAAGCTTTTTCTATTGACGCCTCTGACCACACTTGGCTGTGAGACGGGGCACAGCTAGCCGTAGGGCAAAAAAATATTCCCCCCACCGGGTCGGAAGCGGTAATTAGATATTATTATAATTGTAATTCTCCTTCTTAGGCTTTTCTAGCTTATAAGATGTTTTTATAATTTTTATATAGGATACCGATGATGCCAACTGATCTGCCAATCCCATCTAAACGGCTTTAATTTCCAGTAAAAATATCATTCTCGTTAACTATTAAAAAGTCTAAAAGCCAAACATTAGATTTAGAAGGGATCGACATACGAAAGGAATGTTTTACTCATGGCCAACTGTGCGTTCGCCTATCGCTGGTCGGAGCTCCTCAAAATCAATTTATTTATTTATTGTTACCTCAAAATAATATAACATCAAATATCGTTTACAGAGACGATCTGACACAATAAAGAACCAAACAAAAAATTTTAAAAGAACAACAAAAAATCATTTAAATAATAGTATCCAAACTATAGTACATACAAGTATGTATGTATAATAATTTTAGAAACTCATAGCAAAAAATGTGGGTATTATAAAATTTATAACTTTAGAAATTGTTGTTAAATACCCGTACAAAGCAGGGGCGGTACGCTAATAAATCTAAAATATGAAATCAAATAATGTGAGGACCATGGAAAGGCTGATTGATAGTTTCCAAAATCCAAATTGACTTAAATTTAAAATATCCCCTAAATAATAAGTATAATAATAGAGACTACCTGTATACGAAACTTCATATAAGATATGAATGTGTAATATGTAATTTAGTATCCTGATTACTTCGACTGAATCCTTGTATCCTTGCGATGATGCCAACCCATATCAGGGAAGTTCGCTTGTCAGTGTCTCCCAGCGGCAAGCAAGGATTTTGGGGCCATAAATTAATTTGCCTACAGCCAGCTTTCATGCAAATGCTAAATGAACCGAAATGGCCTGTGCAAGGGCCCATACACACACACAAACACAATGAGTAGTCCTTGAAGATTAATTAATCTTGTGCCACATGCTGCTGGTGCCACAAGCAACCGTCGACGAGCGAAAGAGCGCAAGAGCGGTATAGTGGTCTACTGACCACTGTCCATGCTTTTTGCATAGCAACCAACGGTGCCGCTTACGGGTTTTTAAGCTAATGACACAAAACGCAAAAAAGGATGCGAATGTGAGGATGCGAGGATGCGTTGCAGCATGTGTACGTGTGTATGCGTGAATGCGTGTGTTGCTCTCCATGTTTTCATGTGTGTGTGCTTGGGTGTTTGTGTGTGCGAGAGGGCTTCTCGGGGTTAATTTCGCAGACCGCCCTGACCGCTTTGACCGCCACGGTCTCGACTCTCGACGCTGGACCGCCATTGAGCTTATCTTTTGCCTTTTGAAGAAATAATTAATGACCTCGTTTTTGCCACTGTGGCACGCAGCTGAACGTTGCCCGCTATCAGCCTGCTGCGTGTGTCCACTGGGCCACTGCGGCCATTAAAAATCGTTTATTTCGATTTGATTTAATCCAAAATAGATTGCACAGCCGCTGCCAGGAAGAGTCTCTGTATGTCTGTCCGTCCAACACTCTCAGAGCCCAATGCCGAGTCCGTGGCCGACGACGAGGACGAGGACGAGGCCGAAGCCATGGCCAATTCATGCACTCAATTTGCGAATGCAACGAAGCGACGATGACGGCGACCCTCGGTGCAGTGGCATTTATAAATTTCATTGGTTAATCCTTATTTTCGCATTAAGCGAGCGGCGAGCGCACCGAGCAATCCAGAAGCTACACTAGCTGTTATAAGTATGTATTCTGGCAGATCCGAATTATTATTCCAATACGATTATGTAAAGCATATTATTCCATTCTGTATGCACCCAGTGCCCGTTTAAATGAACAAATTTGTTTGTTTTGTTTTTAAGTGAAACTTCTTATATGAAGGAATGCTGGATGGGCAACCTTTTCGGTAACGAAACCAATGACACGATAACTGGCGAGCATAAATGAACAGCAAATATACAAAATAGTGGAGAATCTAAGTGATTAAAGTGAATTTAATTGGGATCCTAACGGGCCATTCGGAAATGTAAGCCAACTGCATTTCAAATTAAATCAAAAATCAGCATTCATGAACCTAACGGTACAATCTTAAATGTAAACACCAACTTAGTGTTCTCTAAATGTTCATATTTCACAACGCTCCTAATGTAAAATAAAGTCATAATCGTTAGCAGTTAATTTGCCTTCTTATTTTTATTATTTATAGTATTTATGTATGTTAAGACCTGGTAGGTCTTAATTTTTAAGAGTCGCCAATCCATGGGGTTTTTTGCCAGGGGTTTTCAAAGAATTTTTACAAGAGTATATTAGGTTCGCGCGAGCTGAAAAATGTAACAGGCAGAAGGAGGCGTATCAGACCCCACAAAGTATATACAGTATATATTCTTGATCAGCATGACAATACGAGTCGATCTAGCCCTGTCTGTCTGTCTGTCCGTATGAACACCTGGATCTCAGAGACTATAACAGCTAGAGACACCAAATTTTTCACAAAGATGTGTGATCATGTGTGTACGCTATAGGAGTTTGTTTTATTTTTTTGATTCCCCCCCTCCCACTTCCACCCTATGGTGGTTTTCCCGATTTTCCATTCATATAATCGCCTATATCTCAAATTTTAGTCCCAGATGCCTTACTTGAATACTCAGAAAGTGTTTATTTTGGAATTTCCTTCCCTCCTCTCCATCCCCGGCAATCACTGATTTTCCATAACTCCTGTATTTCTTGGAATTTTTCATTGAAATTCGAAACCTACTACCAGTTAGTAATTATAAGCATGTCAAGTTTCATAACGATAGGCCTATTTAAAAGGAAATTATAGCCATATATGTACATACGACCAAGCACTGCCCGCAGCTGTTGTTGTTGTTACTGCTTTGCACAGGCATACGAGACATACACAGACACAGACAAACACACACATACACGCATAGAAACGCATAGTTATTTTGTACAGAGTATTTCAAAGTCGGGATACCTGTCTTTAGCTTCTCAACTTGTTTTAATTTAAAATAGAAATCTGGATCGGCAACCACTGGTGACGATAGAATTTCTAGATATTTTGCAGCTGGTTTTAAAGCGGTGTTTCAAGCCATTTTCTTACGGTTTTCTATATATTTTTATTGGGGTTTCTAGACATTTTCTGGCGGATTTTTAGAAGATTTTGTAATATTTCTCTAATTACTTATAATTGTTTTTCTAGCGGGTTTTCTAGCTATTTATAGGAATTTTTAAGCTATTTTCTAGCGCTTTTTAAAATCGATAACCGAAAGCGATCACCTTTTCTTACCATGCTTTTCAAGCCAAATGTACAGTAATTATAAACGCTCTGATCTAAAAAAAAGAACTCAAACTTAATCATTCCAATAAAATCATTGAGTTTCACTTCTTTCGCGTATACCCCTGATACACACATTATTTTTAAAATTCCAAGTGTCTAACGGGGAGATGGTCAAATGGAAATGGCTAGTAAGAATGGATAGTAAGAGTAATAGTCAAAATACTTTTTCCCCTAATGTCCTGTGCGCGTCTCTATGCAAATGCATATTCCGGCACTGCAATCGCCTGGCCAGTGCCTTCACCCTCATGTCTGGAATTGTCGGTCTGCCCGTCCGTCTGCTGGCCAGTCTGTCTGCGTAGCTGTACGCTCGTCCTTCTGTTTGGTGTTGGCAATTAAACTAATCGCGCGCCGGGCTTAAAACGCGATTTGCGGTGCCGATTGCCATTGTGATTTGCGCAAATTTATTTTTGGACGGGCCATTGCCTCAGAGCATGGTGAGAGGAGGGGAGAGGGGCTTTCACACACACACACACACAAGCACACCCACACGCATCCCCAATATTTCTTTCTAATGTCGCTTAAACGCGCTACATTCGGTGTTGTTGTTTATATTTGCATTTCCACTGGTCATGTTTGTTTAATTCACGCCCGTCCGGAATTTGCGGCCGTTTGGCGGTTTCTGCGGCCTGGCCGCCTAATGCAAATGTTTAGTTTTTTGGTGTACGCCGCATCAGGCTCCCCCCAATCCGTTTTCCAACAACACTTTTTAAGAGGGTTATAGAACGATACTCACATTTTCAATACGCGGCTTAGATCCATGGATGGCTCTAGCAGAGCTCTATAATTTTATGGAGCTCTTGACTGTAGCTTTTGAACTGAAATTTCTTGCTGGTTCAAGTTTTCTGATATTATTTGTTCAACGCTGTTGAAGATGGGAAAATATTAAACTTCGCAGCACTTGGCATGGCTGATCGTTGTACTTGACTAACCTTTCTTGATTAAAAGTGTCTTGCTGTCCCTGCACAGCTCCGATTTCCAAAAACAAACAAAAGATTTGTTGAATAAAAAAAAAAATGAAAGCTCCAGCTCCAGAATTTGTTGTGCACTGATAAAATGTTGTTTGAAACTATGGCATGTGAATCGAAGCCTGCTAGGAAACGATTCTCAATTATTTAACTCTATTTCTAAATTAACACTTTTGTAAAACCTTTCCTGAAGGCTAAGTCTGACAAAAGCAGGCGTGGCAGACCAACAACTACAAACAATACTCTTATATACTTTTCTTTTGGTCTTGCTTCACTTTATTTTAAAGTTTCATTGAAATCGGTGCGTTTTCAAGTAAACATATTACATTCGTATTACTACCGGCTTCAATTCGACTCTCTGTTCCGTAGAAAATAAATAATACATGCCAGCCCTTGGCAATAATTTCTTGGAAAACGCAAAATAGTACCAAGTTTCTGAAAACTTGAACTTATTCAAGCTCCTTAGAGCTACGGTCCGGTCTATTATGCATTTTGCAGCTGAGATGTGGGGGCAGACGTATTCTGAAGAAGTCGAACAAGAAAACGGTAAGGTTAGTGAAGAGCACCCCCAAATTATGCAATTCACATTAAAACGGGCTTTTCGTTTATACCAAAGAATAAAAAATAAAAAACATCAAATCTTGAAGATGCAAACTAAACTAATGTTTCAGGAATATCCCTAATCTGTAAAGCACGTACTGATAGATACAATTTTAGCACCTTCAGGAGAATGCACTTAATCAGAAGCAAGCAAAAGACCCCTTGGTATCAAATTGGACTGGACTTATAACCCTGCACAAAAATATAATATATACAGCAAGAACATATTTTAATGAATAAAATAGACATTAAATAGGCGCCACCGGGTCGGATGCGTTAATTAGATATTATTGTAATTTGATTAGATTTCTCCCTCTTAGGCTTTTCTAGCTTATAAGATGCTTTTTATCATTTTTATATATGTCCTACAAGTATGTCGACAGTCAATGTTTGTTGACATAAATAAATAAATAAAAAAAAAAATTATGAATTAAGCTCTGCTAACCAATTACTTATCAGAACTTCACGGCCAACAATCTGGTAGCTGGGGAAGCCATAGGCAACCATTTAAATGCGATCGACAGACGGCTTAAGCCAAGTCCATAAGGATCAAAAACTGCTTCACTTTTGCTTTAAATATATACTTGTATTTTGGAAGTGTTTGTTAAATTTGTGGAGTTTTTATGAAAATTAAGTTCCTGCCAGTACAAAAACTCTTTTTTATTTATAAAGAATGGGAAGGTTGGGGATAGACTTGTATATCAGTGATGACAAGTTGGTTCCGCTTAGTGTGAAAATTCATTAATGATTGCCTAAGACTTAATTCAAATGTATGGAGTTTAACGAAATTAAGCAGCTTCAAATAACCAGTGCATTGTATTTTGATAGAATGTATGCATTCATCAAAATTCAGACTGAATACAAAAATGTACAAACAAGAGGGCTGGCAAACCACAAAGCAATTACAATTACTATTCGACCAATATTATGACCCGTTTAGCTGCCTGATTTGTAAATAGTACAGCATATATATAAAATGCTTGGTAAAGTGAAAGGCTCTGACTTTCGTCCATCAAAGTTAGAGCAGATAGTTTCTTTGGAAGCAAGAGAAGGCCACATGTTGAAAAGCCCAGGCCTACTACTACTCCTGAAATGTACAAGACTGGCCTATGGCTTACAGGACTTAAAGCCCTGAAACGGAGGTAATTCAGCGAATATTTATACAAATAATAATAATTGTGATGGATTTCAATCATAGATTTTAAGCAAATCGTAATGTGGGCTTTTCATTTGCAGATTTTCATTGTACATACTACACTCATATATCAAGTTTTTATTAATATTGATAAGTATTGATAATGTACTCATCATATAGCGTGTTTGAAGCACGTGATAGCTTTTATACCCTGCACCCGAAGAGTAAAGGGTATATTAGATTTATGCAAAGAATATAACAGGGAGAAGGAAGTATCTCCGACCACATTAAGCATATATACCATTTTTAAGCAGCCTGACTAGAGAAATCGATGTAGACATGCCGTCCGTCTGTTTCAATGAACCAAACCTTACATACTTAATTTATATATATTTCCCTATCAAAAAGTTATTAGCGAAACAATTTCATTCCAGTAAAAGTTCTCAATTTTGCTTCAACAGCGGAAGTTTGCTAAGACAAAGGGTATTTCACTGCCGGGCTTGCTCGACTGTAGCATTCTCCCTTGTAAGATCGTAAACGTAGTACTCGATTATTGTAGGAATTTGTTCGCCCAAGGGGAGTGTCGGGTTAAGGGGATACTTAAATACTTTATACACCGATCGAATGTTTTAGAAAAAGTGTCCGCCGATGAGAGTATCCGGATAAAAGAGTTGTCCATTAAAGGAGTTTTCCGGTATATGTTCTTGTTGCTATCGATGGACTAATGCAGCTGATACGCATTATCTGTTACATCAGTTACATTTGTACACTTCTCTTTGCCGGAACCGGCCAACATGGCTAAGCTGCATTGACATTCCATAGGCTGGATGAACAGGCGACTTCATTTGTAATACAAGGCTCGACACAACAGCAACGACAACATTTACAACAAGGCTAAGAGTAACATCAACAAGAATAAAGAATTTATATGTAAGTAAGAATATAACCAAACAAAAAAGGAGCAAAAGGAAAGCTTTGAAAATTTTCAACCACAAAACTGAAGGGAAAGAGAAATTCTTTTGATTAATGATGTCAACACTCCGGGTGGAGGACGACGGCGACGGCAGTGGCTGTGGCAGTGGCTGTGGCAGTGGATGTGGCGTTGGCAAGTGGCTTGTGCCAATTCCCCAGTTGGTCTTTAGGAAAAGTCAAAAGGGAGCGGCGACCACATCCATATCCATGACGGACAAATCCGTCAAGAATGCGTCAATTTAATTGCGCACGTGACGCGCGCGTCTATGAATACAATTGACGTTGCTAGCACTGTGGAAGTGGTAGGGGGATGGGGGAGGGGGAGTGGGTGGGGAAGGGCACGTGACATTTGAGGTTGACAGGCAAAGCGAGTGGCTCCAGAGTCGAGCGAGATGAGCTGAGATGAGTTGAAGCTTGAGCCTAAGCGGCGTAACAATTGCATTTTGTGGCTAATAACAGTAAAATGTGTGTACAGCCACAACAACAGCAACAACCTCAACTTGTTGTAGACTGATTTTTGCGAATTTCATTAAAGAAGATAAATGGTTGGCTATTAACAACAACAACAACAACAACAGTAGCAGCAGCAACTGTTGTGTATTTATGCAAAAATTCGTTATGGTTGCCAAACGGAAGCGGAAATCGAGCGCACACTTTGCAATTGTTGTTGCTGCTATTGTTGTTGTTGTTGTTGCAAGTGACATGATAAATTGCATGAAATTATTTCTCAGCAAGCGGCAGGCATAGACAGCGACAAACACTCGCTCTGAGGCATATTTGCGGCTTGTATCTGATGCCGCTTTTGTATCGTTCGCCTCGGCGGCGTATCTATGAAATGGCATACTTAAAAGTTAATTGTTGCGGTGGCGGCACACGCACAAAACTTTTACCAACAGCTACGAGTACGACTGACAACAACAGGACAAACAATGGAATGGGGATGGGGATGAGGTCTGGCAAATCACAAAGCAAATTTGGGCAGAACGCGTTTCTAACATTTAAACGAATTCGAAATTTATTCAAATTTAACAAAATGCGACATGTTGTAATTCTTCTCTTAGCGCACGGCCAACTGCCATATTCCAGCTATGCTAGGCTAACATCATGGGACAGAGAGAATTGCTATTCAGCTTTTGCAGAAAGTGTACTTATTTATAAATAAATGCATTTCTTTCGCATTTTCCAACGCAACTGCTAAAAAATCATGATATGTGCTCATCAATTTACAAGTTCTGCAAATGATTTCATTATTCATATGTAATTAATCTAATTAATACTTTACATTAGCCGATTTGTTGCATAATGAAACTTTCTCATGTACAATTTAATACATTTGGTTTGTTTAATTTTTTTTCTAAAGCAAGTGGGAGCTAAAATCTTCTAATCTTCATAAACTTAATCTGTAAGAACGGCATATTTTAACAATTTGTCTAGTTATGCTTATCATATACAAGTATCGACTATTCTTTTAGTTTGTTAGGTTTGTTATGTCACTCCCCAATTGTTGCTATAAATTGGCCCAAAGCTGGCCAAATGGCAACGTGTCTGAGGCATTAATAAACATTATTGTATAGGTTTTTTTGAGACTGTCTTATTTTCTAAGTTAAAATGATTTATTTATTTATTAAGTGTTCCTGTGTGATGTGAAATCGACATACGAACAGTAAGAACAAGCTATAGCTCAGTGGCCTTAAGCTACAATTTATAAATTATGAAACTATAACGTAATATTATTATATATCTTTATTGTAATAAAATATATTTTAATCGTCTATTATATAAATCTACTTAACCGATTTAAATCAAATTTCACATGTATCTGAAATTTGATTTAATATATGACATATGATAGTTTTTATCTCAATAGTTTAGATGGAGTTGGTTGATTCTTCATTATTATTATTTTATTTTATTTACTTTATTATTTCATCAATATGTTGTGGGACTGAGAAAAAATGCAGACGGGCTGACAAAACATTCAGACTGAAATTTGCAGCACAATTTGTAGATTTCTTAAAAAATAAAATAAAATAGTTAATCGTTCGTTGCTTAATGTAAACCTCATCAATATGAGGTTAAGACAAATTTAAACATTGTGGTGCTATATTTGCGTTGGGAAAACAAGTCAACACAAACATCAGATTTAAATCCAAGTCTGCGAATCATTTCCAAAATGTTGAATTTGACTTTATTTTAATTTTTACAGCATACTCCTAATTGAAATGAAAATCTGTTCTTATTACTGTAATTCTATGTTGCGAGAGTGTAAAATAACCGACACTGTAGAGAAAATCGAATTTTCCTTGCTGTTTGGCTTTCTCCAGCCGTATACGTATGAATCGTTCTTATCGGCGGTGTATTTGTTTGCTGCTTCTTGTTTTGTTTGCTTGCCAATTTCACAACTTTCAGATTTATCGCACAAAAGTCTGATGAATGAGAATGCGCTCCATTTCGGAGTTGCTGTTGTTGTTGTTTTGCTACAAGGCCGGAAATCGCAAACGCGAAGTGCGCCAGCTGTTGGCTGTTGAGCTGAGCCTGCCAAATTGGTCATTAACTGTTGTCGGCGCACAGACAGAGACACACTCACACACACACATAAGAGACACATACTCGTATGTACAGACGACAGACCCCTGGCAGCTGCAGTCCAACATTTTAATTTGGTCTGTCAACGGCAGACGCGTCGCAATGCGAGCCAACCACAGCAACAACAGCATATGCATCAAAACTGATTTGTGCAACACACACACACACACACAGACAGACACGCACATACACACACACACACACACACACGCACAGTAGTGAGGGCTTGCAATGAGATGTCCCCAACACTCGCCAGTTGTTGATTTCTAATTTCACGCGGCGCCGTGTGAAAATCAACACGGTTATGGCCATGGCCAAAACCAAAGGCAGAGCCCAATGCCCAATACCCAATGCCATTACCAATGCGTTGGTCATGACGATGGCAGTAGCCGCCCGCAGAAAAACGCAGCTAATGAAGCGCTTAGGCGTTTGTATGCACCGATATTCTGCCGTACCCCTCCATGGACTGAAATCAAACTTTTGATGCAATACGTGGTTGAAGCTCAACATCACTTTGATTTATCAAATTTTTAATCAACACACTGTGCTACTTATAGCGAAAAATGGAGCCGACATCAAATACTTTAATGCAGCCAGTTACTAACAAAAAAATTGTTATAAATCGGCATGCAAATTGGAAACTTTCTATTACATATATTCGTAATATGCATATGCATAATATGATTTAAAATTCAAAAACAAATTTCTTATTTAAATACATAAATTCTGTAAGAGACGGATCCGCACGAGTCCAACATTCCATTCTTGCTTTTTATTTGTTTCGTAATTATTTTTATTTTACTTGAATACACATTTTTGTTATTTTATACAAAATCTCCGATTAAAGACATCTATGTATATAATGTTTGAATATGTTCTCATCTAGCATTCGTTTAAACAAGAATAGGCGAACAGCAAGACCGCCACACCTGTTACCTGTTTTATCTCCTTTGACCTCCAATTAGCTCGAATTCATATTCAATTAGCCAATATACTTGTAGTACAAACTATGAATTGGTTTTCTCATGAAACCTGGTTACAGCCTGGTTAAATGTCCTTGTGGCAAAACTAAGAAATGCCGAAGATTTCTTAGGCCGGAGATTACTTAAGACATTAATGGAGTCTTTTGTACGTTTTAAATAGCAATGCATATTATTTAAAATGCTTTTAATAGTTTGGGACAAAATGCGCTCATCAAGTGATTATTTTATTGTACAAAAACAAACGCAGTCAGACGAATATAATTTTAGACACCCTAACCTAAAAGTATGCAACAACATTTTTTCAAAAAGGTCGCGCTTAAAATGCAACAAAATGGAAATATTTTCTTCAAGGCTCAAAAAATATTCTTCTGTATTTTGGGACTTTACTTATAAGTATTTTTAAAATATATAGATTGTAAGATATACCGTCGTATCAACTAAATGTCGAATTATGTTAATTAAGACCACAAGCGAAATTTAAAAGGCATAATATATACGTAAAACCGAAGATTGAGAAAAATTAAAACAAAAGAAGAAAAGAATTTCTATTTGAAAATATAAAATCATAATATTTATAGATCTGGTGACTGGAAAATTAATGGCATTTCACCTTTTTTAATGATGAAACCACGTGACGTTGAAAATGCTTCGAAACATGATCTAATTAAGAGAAGATTTACAGTAGAAAATAATGGGTTTAAAACCTTAATAGTTATTCAATTAATCATTTAGCTAAAATGTTAATGAACTTCGGGATCTTAAATTTGAATATGTTGAATTTTTATTTAGTTTACATTTTAGAAAACAATTGTCTAAACTTTTTCTTCTATGTTTAATATAAGAATACATGTTTACAAATATAGAAATAGCATAATTTTTGTCTAAACTAGAATAAATTTGTTAGAACTTGTAAAGGATAGTCATACGAAATTTTTTATCAAACCAACATTTTGTTTATTTATGGGAGAAAAAACGACACATCTATTTCATTTGGCTCTGGAGAAAATCCATTCTGGCGTTCATTTAGACAAGCAGACGGACAAATGCAGACTGTAACTATTAAATCATTTACAAGTATTTTTAGCTCCACGCTATCTTTTCCTTAATTAGCATGTCGAGAGCGGACCTTTAATCTGAAACTGAAGCGCCAACATATACGAGCATAATTAAGAAGAACCTTAAATTCGAAAGGAATTTGATCCAAATTCTAAGCAGCATGTGTGTCCTGATGGGTAAGTTCTTACGGTGAACAATTCAAAATGTAAATACAAGTATAAATGAACATTTCAGTTTGAGAGAGCTTGGGAGTGCGACTCTTGGCCTTTAATGGCTTCGCCGTGGCATAATGAAAAGGAAGCTGGCTCCGGCGCAGCAACTGCCAGGTATTGAGTGTGTCTGGGAAACGGGGATTGGAACAAAAGCACCTGGACGTCGACGTCGATGTCGACATCATCTTCATCTCTATCTGCGATGTAATGGCGCGTTGCAGTACGGAAAATTAAACAATAAGCCGAGGTGTATGTGTTGGCATGTGGATGGAAATGAAGAGGCTGAGTGGGTCACGAAAAGGACATGGAAGGAGCATGAAGATGAAGACGAAATTGGAATTGGAAGTCGAGTTGGGGATGTGGCCACAAGTGACAAACGAATGACAAACGTTTGTAACGCGCAGAAACAACACCAGCAACCGCCAAGACTCTCCCCTTTCCCTTTGCTATTCCCCGCCTCATACCTTTCCTCGCGCTCTCTCTCTCTCTCTCTTGCTGTTCCCCCCTCTCTCCCTGAGGGGGAACTCTAGCTCGCGGTTCGTCTGAAGTGACGCAAAAGTTTTTGCTTTTACGCATTCGTTTCGCTTTTGGGAGCCCAGCGCAGTCCTTGTCGACTGTCTATTGTTCCCAAAAGTGTTTTTATTTAGCTTTTGTTGCCTGCAACACCATCTCAACAGTAACAACAACAACAACATCAACAACAACAGCATCAACAAGCTTAGCAAGTTGCAAATACGCTGGAAATATGGCACAGACTCTACGTTACGTTTGTTTTATTATCTTTTATTACCGTCTCTTGCTTTGTCTTATTGCTTGTTGTTGCTTCTGTTGTTGTTGTTGTTGCTGTTGTCCTTTATATAAAGCCATTGTTGCCTGGGTTGGTGTTGGTGCTCCGTCCCTTGCAACGCGCTAAATTGGCCGTTAAGATGCTAAAGATGCGGATTTCGGTGATTTAGCAAGTTGGTCGCATTTATTCACCAAACTGGCCCCCATTGTTGTTGTTGTTGTTGCTGTTGTTGTTGGTATTCTTGCTGTTGCTGCTATTGTCTAGTTACCTATACCTTTTAAGCAGAAGTTGCCTGATGCCTAGACCCAAAAACTTGCGGCGGAAATCGCGCTAATTTCGGCACCTGCCTCAACTACTACCTCCCCCAAGCAACAGCAGCTGGTGGCCAGAGACTCAAGGATCTCCAGGACCCTGGAAACGATTCCGAGTCAGAGCTCTACTCATGCAATGCAACTTACCCCCTTCCCGTCAAGGCTAGTTAGTCATTTCGAATGCTTCGTGTGCGCCTCGCTTATACACAAGTACATATGTATAGTATAGTCGTATATACGAGTATGTCTGGACGCCAATTGTGGTCGATTGCAGTTAAGCTTTATTCGATTCACTTTGGATGGGAGAACTTAATTTAAACTACAGATTTCCAAAACAAATTGCACCGGTATGTAATTTATTCCTTTCGTGGAATATATGTATGTATTTATATTTTTGTTATTTGACACACACTGCCCTAATTAGTTGTCTACTGTTTAGAAGTTATTTTTAAATGCCAACTGTGATTGCGATTCAGAATTAAAGTTATCGAAATGGGGTTTTTATTGAATCACTAACGAATACTAGATTAAAAGATATCATAGCCCAAATCTCTCATTTTAATTTACCCAGCTGTGTCTGCTTTAACAATCTAGTCAATCATCATATTCATTTCGAGCACAAAACTGCTGTATCTTCAATCTTCTCAGCATGAAAATGTGCTGCAATATCTTTAAAAACATGGATGTGGCATGAAATGTTTTGACTTAAGACCATACTTGTGTCATCAAATCAGATAGATGTGATGAGATGGAGATGACTGGAGCACAAAAGATCGCTTTCCTACTTACGCTAAGGCTGGCACATTGTGATGCCAAATAATCCCTTTTTCTTATGAGATGGGTGTTGGACCCACTTGGAACTTCTACTAAATTTCACTATGCAAGCGATCTTGATAGTTGGAATCTCCGCAAGATCTTCCAGAAACGTAATCGTATTTTAAAATTCTGCATGCCAATACCTTCCATGCCTAAAAGGATGCAACCAATAGTTAATTCTATAGGCAGTTCATCTGCGATGCAATTAATAGTTGTATACGGACATGCTGGGCCATCCCGTTGTCTAAGTCCCAGATCAGCAGAGTAAATAGCCTCCGACGTTCCCTGCGAGTTTTAACTTAGTATAAGCTTATGTTGCCGAAAAGCGTTTTTTTTTTTTTTAATCAAATATCTTTTTATCAACAGTTTCCAACAATTTCAAATAAATATTCATTCAATATACATAGTATTGATAAAAGTTGTGTACTTAATTATGACAATAAAAAAGAATTGGCAAAAAAAGATTGCACAGAAAACACACATGAAATGGATGATTTGAAAATTGTAAATGTTCTTTTTAAATACAATTAATTGGGCTCAACAGCTACTGATTCTGGTTACTTGGGAAACTTTAGACCCCCATAGCATTCACATGACTATGGCATACCTTGTACTATTTCTGAACTATTTATATTTTCAACAAACATATCTTAAGAATTTTAGCAATCTCCTATGCATGGGCTCAGCTTTGTCTGCAATTTATACCGTTAATGAGATATTATACACGATTCCGTAAAGTCTCTCGGTTTTGGTATTTATTTTTTTGTTATCACACGATAATTTAAAATTTGATTATTTAGGACCTCTTCCAATTCCAGTTCAGTAAATTAAAAATTCATGTATGCCAGATTCTTCGCAACACACCAAAATTTTGTTGGGTCTATCTTTTGTCTATCTGTTGTTTCCAATTATATATTTGTTTTAGACTAAATCGACTAAGTAGTACGAGTATGTAGGTCAAAAGCTTGCACTTCATTGAGGGTTCAGATGCGGCTCCTCTTTAGGGATGACGGCTGTGGGTAAATAAAAAATAGTTAAAGGCTTAAGTAATAATGCTGATGGTGCAGACTACCACACCATTGAGGGGAGCTCTCGTGTTCATGTTCATCAGAAAAATCGGTCATTGTGACATCACGCTCCCAAATAGTTTCATCGAGCGGTTCCGAACGCTTGGGAATGGCTTCATTCAAATCGCTCATCGTTACATCATGCTCCCAAATAGTTTCATCGAGCTGTTCCGAACGCTTGGGAATGGCTTCAGCCAATCGCTGTGGAGTGATGTAACGTGGTGTGTGGCCCGCGAACAAAGTGCGCCCATCATAACGCTTGGAAATGTGCTCGTACCAGGCCGTCTCCTGCAAACAAATACCTTCAATTCTCCTTCAAATACTCGTACATAATATCGTTGCTTTGTTACCATACCCTTTCCGATTCTTCTGGGGACGTCATTACAACATCCTCGGGATCGACAACCAATTCGTCGCTGTAGTTGGATAATATATCCATTGGTTTCTCGAACGTACGCATCTTCGTAATCGTGCTCACAGTAAAACTAAAAAATAAAATATATTCGTAAACGGACGTGTGTGTTCCCTATACTCGAAACGATACTATTATGAGCTGTCTATGTTTAATACTGACACTGCCGTCCAATGACTACTTGATTCAAATACATATATGTATATATAATGAAACAAATTATCTTTCTTAGATGCCAAGCAACTTTAATTACTACATAGAGGTACTACTTATGAATATCCCTGAAAACATATTCCATTTACACCTTTTCCATAATTATTTGTAATTATATTTATAATTATTTGTTAGCATTTCCGACACAAAACATTATATATATTCTTAGGCAGCTGTCGACTCAATTCGATCCAGATGGTATGTTCCGATGAAACCGATCGATGGCTCAAAATGAATCATTTATGAGAAAATCTCCAAGTGCATACTTTTATTTTTTTTTATTTTATTTTTTTTTATAAATTGAAGGTGAGCGATTTAGTGATACCAAGTTCATTTTTATGATTTGACTATAAACAAAACTGGTTTGTAGATTGAATGGTGTGTATTGTTTTTAAGGTCGGTTGTATTTATTGTAGCAAGTTAAAAGCCAAGATTAATATTTTAAAATGTATTTTTTTATTTATTTAAAAAGAGCTGATATACGATGTAAAATCTACATACGAGCAGAGGAAAAATCGATAGCTAAGATGTATAACTAAATATAAAACCAAAATTAATATTTTAAAGTTTATAAAATACAAAAATACAAATATATGAAAATATGAACAGTTATTTTTATATAGTTTTTTTTTGTAAAATTCGAGCTGGGCTTCAAGACTGAAGTCGCTTATGAGGCAATATTTCATGTACGCGTGACTTGGTAATCTATTTAATGCTAACGGTGCTACAGATTGAGAGCTGATAAGAAACGAATGTATGGCAAAGCAACACAATGTAAAAGGGGAAAAATTTGTATACACAAAACATAAATATGTCGGCGAACGATTATTGTTCCCCGGTTATTGAGGAATTACGATCAGACATCGCAATAGATTAGCGAGCGTTGCGATTTCCTAGTGTCTTTCCTTGTTGCTTCTCTTACACTTACTAACTCTCTCAAAGCACACACAGAACTGGATCTCGCTCGCAGAGGGTGGATACCACGATCACAGCCACACTGGTCACACTATGCGCACGCCATTCGAATGGGCGCGTAATTCAAAGTCATTTAGTTAATTAAATATTCTCCGACAAATACATCTATTAAAATAACGTTAATATCAAAAACAAGTTCAGTCCTGTTATGTTATGGGTATATGTACTACATATTTAAATCTCTTTCTATTAAAATTGCAAATAATTTTAATTTCATTTGCATGTTCAGGAATCGGTGCCATGGCGCCATCTAGCATGCACAGAGTAATACTGGCGCTCTCTATCGCCTTACTAGCTTATCTAAGACATTCACATTATGTTAGTCGAGTGATAGACCTTTCACAGTTTTAATAGCAAGCAGTGTAGGATAAAAGCAGCTCAGGATGATAAGCAGTTCAAGAGACACAGCAGTTGAGATTAAAAGCAGTGCAACATCACAACGATATCCTAAAAAAAAAAATTTGAAAAATCAAATCAGCTACACAATAAATAATGCTTTAGTATGCCAATTTAAAAAGGTCTCCTTACTGTGTGCCAATGCTATAGTAATTTAATATGTTTATGCATTTTCTGATTTTCCCTCCCTCTATTTTCCCTTCCTCATGTGTGTGGGGCTCTTACGCTCATCAATTTTAATTGATTTTCGGCTCACTATTCTAATTCTAAATGGTCGAGTGAAAAACACAGCTCATGAACAGCATTTTCTTTGCGGAAGTGCATCACATCCGGTTTGTGGGAAACGAGTTGCCATCGGAACCACCAGCGGTCGCAAAATAAATTTGCGATGCTCGATTTGATATTTCTCGGTCATTTGACCGCTACGCGCTATTTATTCAACTTGTTTAAGAAATTAAATGCCTTTGTGGAATGTGCTGCTGACGCGCTACTTTCTAGAAATTTCAAACTGTTCGATACCAAAAACTCATGCAACATCATCATCATCATGGAGGTCATATATACTTGTAATAAAGTTAAATGCGGAAATTAGATATTTGCGCTCCCCACTCTCGTAATTCTTGGAATTTTTTAACAAACATTTTATTAAATTGCTACTTAATGTTTCCAATTCAATGTTCGATTTCAATATTTTAGCCTGAAAACAACTATTTCACTAACCGAAGCGTGTCTGCATACCCCCGCAAATGTGAAATAGGATTTTTATATATAACTTTTATCATATGGTGATCCGTAGTTAGATCTTAATTTGCATAGATTCTTTGGGGTGCAGTAAAAAGTGGAACCAAGGCGGCCAAATCGTGGAAGCATATTACATTTATGAATATAACTTTCTCTGCCCTTTTCTATATCTATCTCATAAAGCCAAATAAACACTCACAGAATGCAGGGCTACAGAAAATCAGTGAGCACAAGTCTGAACAAGAATACGAATACCAAGTTTCGTGACTCTTGAACTTTTCAAGGCTCTTTCGTTTATGCAGACAGATGGCCAGAATGGCGGACACGGATATATCTGCTAGTTTGTCATACTGATCACGAACATGTACACGGCTTTATTTTAATTATTGTGATCTTATATTTTAAGTATTTTAGATATCAATTAGAACTAATCCTACACCATCCTATTCAATACAAAAAAATATACATTTTTTTATTTCCCTTATATGGGAATTTTACTTTTGTTTACATAGCATTTGGCTACACAGGAATTACAAGACGGCCATAGCTCTACACATAAAAAATAAAAGTTACTGCTGCAGTTCGAATCATTTCCTAGAACCATACATTTACGTAAGTTTTAATAATGCTCTTCTCAGATCTTATACCTATCAAATTATTTTATTTAAAACGTATTCTTTAATTGTGACTGATCGAAAATAATGAGTATGAATTTTGATTATCAATAATCTTCGAAAAAATCAGTTCTGATCTTGGTTGGATCGAGATTCGTGCAGCAGAGCTCACCCGGATGTAGCTCAGTTGTTCATTAATTATATTTGTTGTTTAAAATTCTAGCGACTACTGCATGAAAAAAATACTCGTAGAACAATAGAAATGAAATGCAAACATAATCGTATATTTTCGATTTTGAAATTGAATTGTGGCCTCAAGACCTATGCACATGGGTGTACTGTGGTGGCTCAGGCCGAAACAGGTTGCATATATCAAAAACATCACGAACGCTTTTGGTTATATGAATAATTATACCTAATAGCCATTTCTCAAAGATTAAGAAAATCGTGCTCTCAAAGAAATCGGAGCTATAATTCAGGAGCTATACGCACTCAAAGGTGCTTATTTCCATGGCTTTTAAATTGTGACTCATGGTCGAATTTTCATAAAATATCAGTGCCTACTAAATGGACGCATGTCAGAGGAAGTCCTAGACTAGAGGAACAAGTATTTGCAAAATATATATTTAGGTGTGCAAATACATGCAAGAATAAGGCCAACATTTTTATAAAATAAAAATGTATGTAATATATAAAATTAACGCACTAAGATATAAAATCAGACTAGAGGAACAAGAATTAACAAAAATATATTCATGCACGAATAAGGCCAATATTATTATATAATACAAATGTATGGAATATGCATAGAAATAAAAATTAAAATATAACGAAATCAAACGAAATCAATCAATAAAAAGCTTTAGCAGTCTCGTTAGCAAATAATTTGTTTAATACTTTTTTTTGTTTATTTATGTCAGTTAAATATATGTGCTTATAATACCCTAAACCCTAGTTAATATATACATATTGGTTCTTACTCTAATAGTCCCTAATGGGCACTCTAGAATTTATTTAAAGTAATATACTAATATAATATAACTTATGAAGTTGGTCCATTTGCTTAAAAGCTGAAGAATTTCTCTTTAAAACTAAATTTGATGCATCACAAAATCTTTATCCGGAGATATCTGATATGATATTTTATAACGTGTGGGAGTCCAAGAAGCACAGCGTTAAGGGTTCCTTTCAAGCAGCGATATAAAAGGACTAAAAGCAACCTCTGAGAGCGCCAATGGGCAGTAAAAAATTGATAACTTATTGCCATCCTACACTGATAAAAAAGTTGCATACAGATGAATATTTTCTCATTAAATTTAAACTTGGTAAATAATCAGCCCATCCGATTTCAGGTTTGCGGTTTGACCAGCTCAGCCATTTTCCTGTTAATGGTTGGATCGAGAATTGCAAGACCTGCATTTTTGCTGCATAGTCCAGAAAAATGGCTTTTTGGAATATCACAATTAAAAATAAAAAGAATCTCCTTACATTTATGTGACTTTTTTTACACTCAAGAGTGCCTTGAGGCCCTTATTCACATTTTCCCACATTACCAACAGCCAACAACAACAATTTTATAACAATGTTTACCCTAAAAAAATGTTCACACGTAATTTCGTTCATAATCAAAAGTAGTCTTAGAGGGTTAATGTTCTCCGATTTCCTATTCAAATAAAATATAAGCACAGTAAATTAAAAAAAAAAAAAAACATTTTCAATTACTGGTTTAAATATGAATAATTTTTAAAATAAATTGTAAATCTTTGTCGTTAAAGTGTGTGACGCTCAATTATATGTTGGACCATATTAAATATTAATATACACACTTTAAAAAAAGCAATATTTAATATTTTAATTAGTTTTAACTAAAAATATTAGTTTTCATATTTTTCTCAACTTTAGTATTAATATTGGTCAAAACTCTATAAAAGGCATAGAAACGTTATTAATTATTAATGTAATTAGTAAGAATTGAATAATCAATAGAATTTCCCAATTACTTTCTGCTAGAAATGCGTTCTATACAAAAATATATAAGAATATAGAAATATGCATTAAGAAAAGAGTCAAATACAGTAGAGTAGAAATAAAGTGGGATAAATATTTTATAATTATAAAAACAAGATAGAACGCTACAGTCGAGCAAGCCCGACAGTAAAATAG